AGATCCATGTTTATCCACATGTACAAAACTCAATAGATCCATGTTCATCCACATGTACAAAACTCAATAGATCCATGTTTATCCACATGTACAAAACCCAAGTCCAAGTGGATCAAAGACCTCAACACAAATCTGGTTATACTGCGTCTGATAGAAGAGAAAGTAGGAAATAGCCTTGAAATTATTGGCACAAGAGACAACTTCCTGAATATAACACCAGAAGCATAGACTCTAAGATTGACAATTAATAAATGGAACCTTTTGAAGGTTTTGTATAGCCAAGGACACTGTTAATAGGACAAAATTGTAGCCTACACAGCACACATGCTACTCAGAGCAGAAGCAAATCAAGTGTATTTAGGCTATCCCATACTCAGTCTCACATTCAATGATCACAATTCCTTATGAAATTCTGAGTAGACAATGAAACTAACTGTTCAGTCCTATGTTGTGACTGTGTAGCAAGACTGAGGGTAAATGTGCTATAAAGAGACTGTCATGGAAAGTCCTCAACTCCAAGCTCCAGTACCAATACTGACTCTGAATAACAAGTTGAGCAGAACCCGAGTTACATCAGTGCCAAATGTTAATTCCCTGGAGGAGTTGCTAATTAGATATATAACTCAGGATGTTTAGGAGTTTCCACGTAATCCCAAAAGGTTTTCTTTTATCATCTAGGCTGAGTGGAAGGGATGAGATAATGAGCGTCTTCTAGGGTTCAATCTCTCTGTAGGGCTTGGCTTTCCACAGCAGCCCCAGAGGCATCTTTGGAGCTGATTTTTGATCAAAGGAAGCCTTTCCATGTTTTTGTTCTCACAGAAACAATTACCAAACAATTTTTATAATATCTATTTGATTAATAAGAAGAAAAATAAAAACATATGTGTTATGTTGAGCCATGTGGGTGATTTTAGATGCTTTCTGCAAAATGTTGTTCAAAATTGTTTCAACAACAATTATTAGTTTGAATTCAAAATCAGTCAACTAGATGACTTTATTAAGTATTTTTAAAATAACTATTGCTCTGGAAACTCTGGGAAGATACTGGCTCTAAAATAAGGGGTACACAAATTAGGGAAGGTGAATTGGAGAGAAGATTTGGCCATGGACAATGCAGACAGTCATCTCATAAGGCTTTGTTTATCATAGGAATATAATAGGTAAGATTGAGTTACTTCTTTGAAACTTTTGGTTGAAACTATAAAAACATAGTTTTGTGCAAATGAGTCTGATTATATTGTATTGTATTATATTAGACTATAGAGTTTATACACAGATTTCCCTGTAATTATTATATGCTGTATTCATCCACTTTGAGGAACCAACCTTGTACATTTGAACTCTGATATAGAAAGATTATGTAAGGTTGAAGATTATTTCTTTGACTAGCCATGAAAACTTATTTAGCTATTTGAGTCCAACTCTTCTTAAGGACAAAATAACTGTTTCATGGGATCATAGAATTGTTTAAGATAATATGTGCAGAATGTTTCATGTTGTGATTGGCTCAGGACAGGTGTTAACCAAATGACCACCAGTATTTGGAAAAGAAACAAGACCTAAAGGAGCTCATCTGTAGTCTGTGGAACCAAGGTAGAATCCAAAAAGCCTTTTTATTAGTTGTCGTATGCTTGAAAAATAACTAAGTATTCAAAGCTCTGTTTCTTTATATCTAAAGTAAGGTTGGCTGTTGTTACCTCATAATGTTATTGTCAAGTTGAATTGGGAATGGCACCTTTAAAGTGCTTAGCATGTGCTTGAAGCAAAGTAAGGACACAATACTTAGGTAGAATAATTTTGAGACATCAATTCCATAAGTGAAGAATTTAGCATTGTCGAGCTTTATTGTCATCAATGATAATTATCATTTGGAAGATAAAGAAGAAAGAGTTTGAGAAAAGGTTGCAACTTAAAGTGTAAGGTAACTGGGGCATTGTTCTTGGCTAAGATATTTCTCTTTCCCTAGGGATCTCTCAGAGCCTCCATCTTATTCTGTGCTGCATGTTGTATAATAAAAGCGTATCAGAGGTAATAAGTACTGTCAACTCATACATGTTTTAGGATTTATTAAAATGTTTATAAGCCTTATAGTCCACCCGTCACATCTGCCTTTCATAATTTTTCTGTCTTATCTTCTGTAATCATCCCTGAGCCTTGGGAGGAAAGGGTATGTGATATGCAGCTCTGATTTATGGCTGAGCATTCTGAAGTTTCTGATTATTTGTTCATCAAACAGTTGTTGGTCTTTTTGTTCACCACATTTTACTGGAAAAAAGATTTAGAAACTCTCGGCAATTAATAGATGCTGGAGGAGGGAAAGTCAGGTTTTAGATCATGTTCCAGTAAATGATGCACATTCTAGAGTAGATTTGCAGCACAACGTAGACTTTATGGATTTAAACAAAAAAGATGATACAAAACTGTGTGGGTAGCGGAAAGGGTGTGGCTCTAGGAGTTGGGATAGGAGAATGAATATTATCAAAAAACATTTTGCAAACTCTCAAAAAACTAATAAAATGTGTTCATTAGCCAATTTTCCATTTTAAAGTAGTTTTCAGTTTAGGGAGGCTATTGCCTCTCTCTACTCTGGCCACAATCTAAAATACTGGTTCCCCAAAACTCTTCTTAAATAACATCACACAAAATATGAATATACCAGGTGGGTCGTCAAAATATTCCTTCTGTAAAGTATGGCTAAATTGTCCTTAGATGAAATAATCAAACCAAGGCAGCTTTAGAAAATTGGTTCTAAGTTGTTGAAACACTCATCCATATTTGCCTCTTTGGTTAAGCAATTTACTTAAAGACTACCAAGAAAAACATGGGGCAAGAAGGTCTATATCAACCCAGAATCATGAAAGAAAAAAAAAACACAAGTATTTCAAAAGTTCAAAGCAAACCTTAGTAATTATTTGCCTAAAGATCTTTAAGAAGTATGTGTGTGTGGTTAATTTTTGGAATGGGGTATGCAGACAATTTTGTTTCTGAGAACAGAAATCCAATGTGGTTGAAAGAGTACAGAATTTGGCATTAGAAAGTCCTAGGTTCAAATACAGTATGATGAACAAGTTCCATAGTCACTCTGAACTTCACTGTGTTTGTTCATCATGTATGTATTCCTGTCAGAAGAAGGAGAGGTAATATAATGTGGGTTTGGAAAGAGAAAGAGAGACAGAGAGAGAGACACACAGAAAAACAGAGAAAGTGACAGAAAGAGGCAGAATGACAGAGACACAGTCTTAATGTAGCTGTATTTTTAGCTGCACCCAATTTGCTGACATTTAGTCTCTGCTCAGGTACTTTGAACAGTAAACCTATCACAAGGATTCCACAAACCAGTCATTAGACAGAAAATGTAATTAAAAAATTTACCAGTTAGATGGTAAAAACATGTTAATAATTAGCCAATTTTTTTCATTGTTTCAATGTAGGAAGCTTGCAATTAACCACAGGGGAACTTCTCCATACTGTGTATATGAACATGTGGGAAAATATAGTAAAACAAAAATATAGTACTTCTGATGCGGGATTTTCCTCTGTACGCTGTGATTACCATTAACGAATAAAGAAACTGCTTTGTCCTGTTGATAGGCCAGAACTTAGGTAGGGAAAGCTAGGCTGAATGCTGGGAGAGAGAAGGGCAGAGTAAGAGAGACGCCATGGAGCCACGGGAGATAGACAGAAACTTTCCTGCTAGGCCATGATCTCATGTTGATGCACATATTAATGGAGATGGGTTAAATTAAGATGTAAGAGTTAGCCAATAAGAAGCTAGAGCTAATGGGCCAATCAGTCCTTTAAATAATATGGCTTCTATGTGATTATTTTGGGTCTAAGCTAGCTCCCTGCAACATATTTTCTTATTATAAATTGTAGCAAATGAATATAGATTTAAACATACACACATATGAGGGGCATAAAAATAGAAAGGGCACTTATAGGGCAAGAGGATGTAACCTGGATGGGAGAGAGAAGGGAGGAAGAAATGGTTACTGAGAAAGAAAATCAAAGAGTATTTCTTTTCTCTGGTATGAGGAGGCTGTATTATTCAGAGAGAGTACTATTTCATGAAAGGAAAGGTCCGGAAGAAAAACGACGGAGGTAAGTGGTGGGTAAGAGCAAAGAACAGTTACATGTATGTATAAAATATCACAACAATGATAAAAGAATTAATGGTGGAAATGAATGCTATCACAAAGGAATAGAGAAACAATAAAATTAGATTATGTGACCCAAGACACAGAACTAAGGCATAGGAAAAATGTGGGTTTGGATTATTTAATTTTAGATGTTGTATATTAAAAACTCTTGAAGCACAGTATATTAAATGTGGTGGGTAAGAACTGAAGTATAAAAAATTGTTCTAATATTATCTGAATAGGCAATATCCTGGAAAATGATATAATAGTAAGAAGAATATATGGATGTATGTATTAAGGGATTATTGAACACAAAAAAACAGACTAATCAACTTTCTATTTCTTTATCACTTTCATGAAAAGATGGGTTACATTGATTTGAGGATAATGACAAAAGCTAAGGTCAGTGTGTGGAGGGGAGAGAGAGAGACAGGGTTCAGTTTCAAGAAGAGAATTGTACAGGTTGTACTGCCTGAGGATATGGTGGCTCATATGGACAACAAATAAAAACATGTTGGTATCCAGCAAAGAAGACTCCTTCCTGTAATACGTGGGAACAGAGGTACAAAGGGTCATTTTGGCCTTCCCCAAACCTGAGTATCATCTCTCTTGTCCTCAGAGAAACCTACAAATGTAAAGCAGAATTCATTTGAAGCAGAAAGAGCAACTGAAGAGTCACCCCATACTTTTTGGAAATATCTAAGGAAAATCACTGAGATTCAACAATTCCTGAAAAACACTTGTATAAATAGCCTCAGAAATACAAATTAACACATACTGTAGAGAAAAAGATTGGTCATCAGTCCTGGATTCATTACATTTCACACTTATATTCTGATGAGTATATAGTCCACACTGAATATGACCAATAGTAATTATACCACAGTAACTGAATTCATTCTTGTAGGTTTTACTGACTACCCAGAGTGGGAAATTCCTCTCTTCCTAATGTTTCTGAGTTTCTATCTTGTAACCATCCTGGGGAATTTGGGTATGGTCATTCTTATTCTGGTAGACATCCAACTTCACACCCCAATGTATTTCTTCCTGTGCCATCTCTCTGTAATGGATGCTTGCTACACCTCGGTTATCACCCCTCAAATTCTGGCCACACTGGCCACAGGCAAAACCGTAATTACCTATCATCACTGTGCTGCTCAGTTCTTCTTCTTCACCTTCTGTGCAAGCACAGAGTGTTTCCTCTTGGCAGTGATGGCCTATGACCGTTATGTTGCCATTAGCAATCCTCTGCTCTACACCGTGGCCATGAGTCCGAGAAAATGCTGGAGTTTGGTAGTGGGAGCCTATGTGTGTGGATTGTCTGGGTCCATTCAGAGGACCACATGCACCTTCTCCCTCTCATTCTGTAAAGACAATAGGATAAATTTCTTCTTTTGTGACCTCCCACCTCTACTGAAGCTCTCCTGCAGTGATACAACAAATGCTGAGATTATCATTGTGTTATTTGGGAACTTTGTCATCTTGGTCAATGCCTTCATCATACTCATTTCCTACCTGCTCATCATCAAGACTGTCATCAGGATGAAGTCTTCAGGTGGCAGAGGTAAAACATTCTCCACATGTGTCTCACACCTCACTGCTGTGGTTCTTCTCTTTGGGACCCTCACCTTCATGTATATAAGAAGTGGCTTAGAAAAATCCCTAGAGGAAGACAAAGTTGTATCAGTCTTCTACACCGTGGTCATCCCCATGCTTAACCCACTGATCTACAGTTTGAGAAATAAAGACGTTAAGATTGCCTTCAGAAGGGTCACTAATAGACTACAGATGTCCTAGACTGTATAGAACTGAGTGCGATGACTTCTCCTCATTGTCAATTTTGTATGAAGATCATTAATTATATAATAGACAGCGACAATATATTCATCTTCTATCTATGAACAGAGTGGATGCTTGCAAGTTGTTTCAGGCAAGATGAAAAGTTGTCATGCATTTTATATCCAGAAAATAAAGTATCTTGCTTTTTTCTGTCATGGTCTCCTGATGCTCTCTGATACCATCACTTAGAGAAGGTTTGAGAGATCTCATGATAGTTTACTCTAAATTCTGTTATACTTTCCATATTGTCTTTGCTGCTGTGCATATCATTGTGCTTACTGTGTCAGATATTACATTTCAGGACTCTGTGCATTGAGTTATTTGACTTTTTGTTTCCTTTTCCATATGTAAAGTATACAGTATAAGCTTCTCCTTCAATATTACAGTGTCTTTCTTTATTCTGGGGTTATAATAAAAGAACTTCCAAACTGTCTTTATAACTCACTTATTTTCTTTTCTGTTGATATGTTGATGACTTCAGAATGAAACTAGCCACGTCACCTATAGAAAGGTGTCTACAAGGGTCGATTCTGGCCTTAGTAGGATGACACACTGTCATTCTTCCTCCCTCTAATGCCTACCTTGTTGGAAGCTCTCATCCATGTATCATGCCTTTAGGATTAGCAATGTTAAGATAGCACAGAAACAGACAGTTAAACCACTCATTCCCTTTTTTTGTAGTAGACTTTATGACCCGTGAATACAATACCAGGCTGTAAAACATAAGATAATTTTCTTTCTTTTCTTAATTTCCATGTCAGAAGTCAAATGAGATATCAGTAATTGCATTTGAAAAAGATTCTGTCACATATGTAGTTCTATTTGCATTTCATTTTAACTTCAGAGGCAGATGAGAAGATGTTGCCAAGTAGGAAATTTCCATTTAGTAATAAGTAAAATATTTCCTCCAGACCCAGAGTGCTCAGAATACAAAGCACACACAGCAGTAAGCTAGGTATGGGGTAGTTTGAAGCTAAAACTAATTTTGTCTCTAATTAAATATGAGAATTTGAATAAATATTTCACACTTTCAGGTCTAAAATAAGTATAGCAATTCCAAATTTAAATACACTATAATAATTGAGTAAGATCATAAGTAAGAAATTTCCTAGTATAAGTCAAGTGTCAGTATAGTTTGATCTCTTTCTCTACATTCTCTAACTCTACGAAATCAATACTATCCTCTTGCTGCAACTGCATGGCTCATTCAATATTGATATGAAACAATAATGACAAAAGGTACTGGATAGAGGAAGAGGAATGAATCAAACATATTTCATGTTTATCTGGGGAATTATACTTATGGCATCTCATATAATCAAAAGTAACTGAAGAACTCCTTCTTTGAATTTTCTTTGGCTTTATTTTCAAATTATGTGTTTGGGTGTTTTGTCTGCATGATACTGCATGTGTGCAGTATCCATAACAGGCCAGAAGAGGGCATCAAATCACCTGGAATTGGAGTTAGAGTTAGCCATGAGCTGCCTTGAGATGCTGGAAACTGAACTTGAATCTTCTGGATGAGCTGCCATCTCTTAACTGTGAATCCATCTCCAATGACAACTTTTTTACTGAGCATATTGTTTTGTTCTACTGAAATCTTTACCCTGGCAGCCATTTTTGAGACATTGTTACTCTTCCTTCCATATTGAGGTCTTTTGGGGTCCAGTCTCAAGGTCCTCTTCAGAGTTCTTGTTGAATGCTACAGCAAGAGAAAGAGAAAGATATCTGAGGGTAAATGAACTCACTCTGTGCTGTTCCAAACAAGTCTCTATTCTTCTGCTTCTATTCTAATTCTCCTTCCTTGATTCTATTTCCCCTTGTAGGTTTTTGGTATGTTGTGTTTTCACTCAATTTTTGTATTTTTTAAAGTTTCACTTTTTTATTTCCTCAACAACCCTTTTATCACTTAGTGGTATATAATCTTCATAAGATTCTGTACATCCTATAGTATCTTATGCTCCTGAGTTTTAGCTTTATTTCACTGTTGTGAGCATATAGAATATGGCATACAAACAAATATTTCATTATTGTACTCCATTTATCAGATTGTCTTTGGAACCTAATAGGTGATCTACTTAGAGAAAGATCCATGGGCTGCTGAGAAGAATCTAAATTCTGGAGTGTTTTAATTGGATAGTCTGTAAATGTTTAAGAAGTGTACTTGATATACAGTGTCATTTAATTTAGATATTTCCATGAATTTATGACATGTGCGCATGTGTGTGTGTGTATGTGTGTGTGTTGACCTGTCAATTCATTTGAGTATTGAGGCCAATCACTACTATTGTGCTGTGGTTAATTTGTGACTTTGTATCAAGTAGTATTTCTTTTATGAAACTGGATTCACCCATGTTTAAAAGCGTGCATGGGTTTAAAATTAAGATGTCTTCTTGATGAGTTATTCACTTAATTGCTATGAATTGATATCCTTTATCTCTTCTGAAGTTTTGCTTGGAGTCCATTTTGTCAGATCATAAAATCACAACTATTGCTTGTTTCCTACATCCCTTTCCTTAAACTATCTTTTCAATGTTTTTATCCTAAAGAAGCATCTGTCTTTTATGTTTAGTTACATTTTCTTTGAGGCAAATGATGGTCCTGCTTCTTGATCCAATCTGCTAGGTTTTGTCTTCTGATTGATTATTTAAGAAAATTCATGTTCAGAAATATTGTGGGAAGATATGTATTAATTATTGTTATTTTGTTGATTTTGTAGAGCTTGTTGTTTTCTTACTCCTCTGTTATGTAACTATTATTCCAGTGTGCTTTCCTTCCTTTGGCTTATGAATATTTTTTTTAATTCTTTCTCTTCAAGTCAAAACTTTCCTTCAAGTTTCTTAAATAGCTAGCTTCATGGTCATAAAATACTTTAGCTTATTTTTTATCACAGAAATTTTATTTTAATCTTTTAATGATGACATAGCATTGCTAGTTATGATAGTTTGAATTGATAGTTATTTTTCAGAACCTGAACTGTATCATTCTCTGGATTTCTATTGAGAAACTCATGAGGATGCCTTTATATATAACTTGGTATTTCTCTCTTGCCACATGAAATATTTTTCCTTCTTTTTTGTTTATTTGGTATTTAATTATGATATGATATAAGATCTCTATTGTTTTCTTTTTTGGTCTTCTCAGCTTGCTATTCTAAATGCCTATTTTATTTAGATTATATATCTTTCCTTATTTTCTGGATAATTTTCTTGTTTGAGTTAAAATATTTTCCATGCTTTTAAAATGAAATTCTTCTCTTTGCTTTGTATCCATAATTGTTAGATGTGATATTCTCACAGTTTCTCATATATCTTTTAGGTCTCCTTTTATGCCTTCTCTTAAATAAATTAATGAAATGTAAGTTTGGGGAGCATTAACTGGGAATATTTGTGGAGGTCAGAGAACAACTTGCAAGGAAATGGTTCTCTCTTCCTATCATGTGGGTTGTAGGGATTGAACTCAGTTAGTTAAGGCTCTGCAGCAAGCATCTTAATCCTTTGAGCCATCTTGTTAGGCCAACTTTTGCATTAATACTGTCTTTTTCCTCATTGGATTCTTTTGATTCCTATATCTTTTCTTCTGCTCACATATTCGATCATCTTCTCATATCATCCTGCATCTGCACACTCAAAACCATGGCTAAGCCAAATGCTTGTTAATTATCAAAATATTTATTCAAACTTTGATACTTAGGAAGTATATTACATCATTGACACTTCTAATGCTAGAATGCTTTTAATCTTAGAATTCCAAGTAGATGAAAGCAAACAGGCTAGGCTGAGTTAACTGAAGAGAACATGTGAGAATTTGCCATGAAGCTGAAGAAACAAGACTAACTACCAATGAATAATTATGGACTATGTAATGCAAATGCAATTTTGGCAAATTATATGTTTCTAACAAAAATATTGGTGGTTTCAGAGGCAGGAAATATAAAAACAGAACAAAGAAAGTTAGTCACAGATCTTTGGAAATGGATCTTGAGGGAGGTGGGAAAGTATTCTGCTCAGTGCAGAAACAGTTGAAGTATGGTTATACCATCATAAATTTGCTGTCTTTTGAGTAAAAACTCATGCTTCCTTATGAAAATTGAAACATTCAGTGATATTGGATTTCAGATCTGAGTTGTTGTAACTGGACAATGGCTGTAAAAATATGTACAGTGTAAAGAGACTTTTATGTGAGGACCTCTGATCTGAATTTCAGGCCTTTGACTAACTCAGCAGAACTTGTCTATTCCCCCTAAAAGCTATTGTTGATCTCCAGATCCAAGTTGGAAGTTGCCATGAAATATCAAAGGTAAGATTTTATCCACTAAGAGATGTGGAGAAGATGCAAAAATAAGCTTCTGCCTGAGAGAAATTACTGGGGAAATGACGGGGAACTTTCCCCAAGAGTTTTAGAACCTGTCCCTGGAACTGTTTTATGATTCAGGGGAATACTTCTCTGCTGCAAAGCTTCTACTTGGCCACCCCCTAAAGCATTTTAATTACCCATTGGGTTGCTATTCAAGAAGAAATTCCCCAATGATCCATTACATTGAACTATGTGTACAATCTTAGCTGCTTTCTAAAAATACTTAATGCATTTGTTAATTTGAATTCAAAGGCTTCAAGTTCAATAGGTAGATTCTACCACCTTACAATCTTGTAAAGATAATAAAAATTTTTAGACAAACCAGCAAAGGCCAATTAGGGCTAGAGTAAGGCCATTGTTACTTGACTTTTTTTTTAAAAATTTCTTCTTATTTGTGTGTATTAATGTTTTGCCTACACACAGTATGTGCACCATATATGTGCCTGATACTTGCAGAGACCAGAACATGGCATCAGATACGCTGGAACAGATGATTGTGAGATGCAATGTGGCTACTAAGGGTGGAACATAAGTCAGTGATGAAAGATGAAAGAAAAGCAAGTGCTCTTAATCAATCAGGTATCTCTCTGGATCCAGACGGT